AATTCATATATTGGAGAACGTGGCTCTTATTCCCTCCCTGCTTTTCAGGAGAAGAGAGGGAGATTTTGGAGGCTTCGTGCTACTTTAGGTGGCTGAGCCGCTTTCATCCTGCAAACCTTTCAGATTTCCAGTAAAGACCCTGATAAAGCTGCACAATCAGAAAATGGGATCTAATTGCTTCTCTCTTCACCCTGGCTGGCAGTTTCCTCTGTACTGAGCATGCTCAGGTTACAAGTATCTGCATTTGAGGAGTCAGAAGTTTGGTCACTTTTTTCCTCTCCTGGAAGACAGACCTCCTGCTTTCTTTTCCCTTCGCATGGATTAATTTAGAATATTTCATATTGATTTATTTACTGAATGTATAGCCCACCTTTCTGCCAAGGTGGATAAAAGATTCATTTCTGTTCTGCTTTTGCTTCCCTGCAAAGCCACAAGATGGTTTGCATCTCCTTGGCTGACAATCAGCTCAGCTCAGCTCAGCTCAGCTCAATGGTTGAGTGATGAGTCAAGGTTTAGTCTAGCTGGGGTTAATAATCAGGGTTCAGGTCCAGTAATAAATGCAGATGATCAGTCTATTGATAAAAGAAGATCATGGCCTTGGCCTTAATCTCAGTCTCTACTAGTATAGATTCATTTAAACAAGTGTTGAATGCTTGATCCAGTTGCCCTCCTCTGCTTGGGACGACCGATGCAATTCAAGTCTATACTAATTAACGGTGGCCTAAATCCTTCTGTTAGCTCCAGGTAGAGGAGACTCAGTGAACCACACTCCACACTTGTTCAAATTGCTTCTCCCCATGACCCACGGACGCACTTTCTTCTCTGACTTAATGGCATGGAAATGCTCAGCAGTGGGAATTTCCTGGAAATTAATGGTCAGCTAATATTACTCTACCACACCATCAGCTTCCTTCGTCTAGTAATTAATCCCCAGGAAAGGCTGTGGGTTAGGTAATTAAAAAGCTATGTAAATGCCAACTACATTTCTGTCATTTTTGCAACGTGTTTTTCTCCACCGTATGTGAAAAGGGATGGAGAAGGGGGGAAATTTGCTGGCACATTTAAAACAGGATAATTTGTCTCAGCCCAAACACAAGAAGAGACCGCTGTTGAAATAAACTGGTTATTCTTAATGGTGGAGCTAGTGTGGTGTAGTGGTTTGAGTGTTGGACTACAACTCTGGAGATCCTGGGTTCGATTCCCTGCTCAGCATCATGCAATGTCCTTTATGGTTATAACACCTTTCTGGTCCATACACGCATCTCTGCAACAACATAAAGCCATGTGCCACCTTTAAGAGTGGCAGGTTTCCAATAGCATGAGCCCTCATGGATAACAGTCTACTGTATCAGGTGCATGCAATAATATTTTTACGAATTCATGGAATTCATAGTAGTCAAGATGGCTACATGCCCCATTCAGTATCCATCCAGAAAAATGCATGTTTTTGTCTTTGTTCAAAACATTTTTTCTGTGCAGAAAACACCATGCTTCTCCTGTTCATGAAACATGTTTTCTCCATAGAAAATATGTTTCTGTTTCTCTCCACACATTAATTCCTCTATAACCTTTTGAATATCAGGAGAATACTGTTGAGAAATATTACTGTATTATTTATTATTACAGTCCTTAGATCCATCAATACAAACAAACAAGAAACAAAAATTGTACAGTACCAAATAGTATACATTTTAACGTTCCAAAATTACAATAAAATGGGCATACCCAATAAGGACATTTTAGATGCTCTGGCCAATTTTTATCACTTCTCAGCCTTTTGGCTAAGAACATGCATGAGAAATATTCATTTCCACCACCACCCCTCCATTTGCAGAAATCTATGGCAATTATTCATTGTTTCATGCATGGATGAAACAGTAATGGGATTAAATCCCTATGGAGAGCTATGGTGTTAATTTAAGACCTCCTGCATGCAAACCCTGCCCTTCCTTTTCAGAGTTGCAAGCAAGTCATGTTCTCTTGCATATCCCTCCACCGAAGCCAGTGTTTTTGCAATGGGGATGCATTTCCTCCCTGGTTCCTTGGCTTGGCCTTTCTCTCCCACTGGAATAGCAAACACATGCTCATGCTAGAAATCAAGAGCATGGCATCTGTTCCAAGAGGCATGAATGACATATTAAGTGCACTTCTCATTATAACTCTCCTTCCTCAGTTCCTTCCTCTCTTTCAGGGAAGTCTTTCTGTAACCCTTTCCTGTCAAAGGCTCACCTGAGCAGCCTTCAAGACAACCAGGTAACTAAAGAACGTGCACCGAATCCATATTCCGCCCCATTATCCAACAGATTGATCAGCTATTCAAATGTATTCAAGACCATTGTCAAAGGCATAC